TTGCTTTTCTTTTTTTTTCTTAAACCTTCCAATATCTCCACAAGGCATAAATGTATCATCTTCCTGGTTTTGTAGGCATGGATGTTAGAATATAGAAGTTGCCATTATGTATCTGATACACAGTTTCCGTGAACTAGGATTAAAATGGAGATTTCCTGGCTGTTTAGCCATTCTGTTCCTTTTTTGGCATCTTGGGATCACCTGAATAAAGCAATATTAATAACAAACACTTACATAGAATGCTTACTATGTGGTCGGTAGGGTCTGTTCCAAGTGCTTCTACATATATTAAATTCTCATGAGAGCTAATAGAGAGATAAACTATCTTGCCCAAAGTTGACACAGCTGTAAAGTTAAAGACTGGGATTTGAAATTAGGCACTCTAACTCCAGAGTCATTGTTCTTAACCACGGTGCTATACTGGAAGTAGATTTATATATATCTCAAATTGCTTAAATTTTGAAAGTTTTTGTTTTTAGGTTGGATAGATTTTCTAGGCAAGTAAAGCCTACTAAAATAACTGTTTTCTAATTATTTAAATATTCTTTTATTGAGTGCTTTTGTTTTTTAAAAAATATCTTTGGTTCTTATAGGCATAAGGGCCACGTGTTCTGAAATTACTTTGAGACAAGAAGTTTTGAAAGATGGTTTCCACAGGTAAGTTGCCCATTATTTCTATTCCTATTAAAATAATGTCTCATATAATTGTGCACAAAAAGTTGATAGTCGAAATATGTATAAACTGAAAAATCAGGCTGGGCGCAGTGGCTCACGCCTGTAATCCTAGCACTTTGGGAGGCCAAGGTGGGCAGATCACGAGGTCAGGAGTTCAAGACAAGCCTGGCCAATGTAGTGAAAGCCCATCTCTACTAAACATGAAAAAATTATCTGGGCATAGTGGTGTGTGCCTATCGTCCCTGCAACTTGGGAGACTGAGTTAGGAGAATCGCTTGAACCCTGGAGGTGGAGGTTGTGGTGAGCTGAGATCACGCCACTGCACTCCAGCTTGGGCAACAGAGCGAGACTTAGACTAAAAAAAAAAAAAAAAAAAAAAGAAAAATCACTTGCTTTCTCAAAGTTATTCAGTGATGGCATATGTGGTTCACCTTTGAAACAGTGATTAAAATAGCTGAGTAGAGCAAAAAAGAACACAAACATATATTTACCATGTACAATTGTCCCTTGGTATCTGAGGGGTTTGGTTCCTCCTGGACTTCCCCTGAGGATACCAAAATCCTCAGATGCTCAAGTCCTCTGTATCAAAGGGCATAGTATTAGTATAGAACCTACACACACCTTCTCATATATAGTATATTTTCATATATACAACCAGTGCCTGTATATAATATTCCACTCAAATCTTTACAATGGCATGAGATAGATGATTTTTTCTTATTTTTCAGATGAAGGAGGTAGAGCTCAAAGAATATAATTTGGTAGAAATTAGAGGGATAGAGCTCTGACTCAAATTTAGTACCAATATATGAAAAAAAATTTTTTTTGAGATGGAGTCTTGCTCAGTCATGCCCAGGCTGGAGTGCAGTGGCACAATCTTGGCTCACTGCAACCTCCACCTTCGAGGTTCAAGTGATTCTTCTGCCTCAGTCTCCCAAGTAGCTGGGATTACAGGTGTACACCACCAAGCCCAGCTAATTATTGTATTTTTAGTAGAGATGGGGTTTCACCATGTTGGTCAGGCTGGTCTCGAACTCCTGACCTCAAATGATCCTCCACCTTGACCTCCCAAAATGCTGGGATTAGAGGCGTGAGCCACTGCGCCCAGCCTAGACCACATTATTAAAAGGATGGTTTGTGAACACAGAAGAGGTGGTGTAACTGTGCTTTTCTTGGGGTTGTGCTGCAGTCCAGTGAGTACATAGTGAGGGCAATACTGCCAATGCCTACACAACATGTATGCATCAACTGGAGCTTGGCTTTACCTTGGTGCAATTTTTGGTAAAATGAAAAACCTCTTTTTCATGAAAAATAAATAAATAAATAAGAAGTGATCTTTGAGAATTTGCATGAATGTATTACAAATATTTTCTTTACAGAGTTACTTGATAGGTAGATCAGGGAAATGCTATAATTATAGTATCTCTATATACAGATTTTCTGGAAGATTTTGACCAAGTTTTACATCTTAGATTTGTCAACAAGATGAAGAAATGTGTATTGGAAGACAATAGAGGTGAATGTCTTCATACAGATTCACAAATATATCCAACATCTTCTGATTAATGGATTGAATGTGATCTTAGAGGGAGGTCCTGAATGGTCTCTGTCTTTTTAAAATACATATGCTTTTTCTGATTATAAAAGTATTACCTGTTCATAAATACGTGTATAGTATCCAGGAGAAAATAGATTATAGATATATTCTGCTTTTATAGAAAATATGTCTATATAGCTAATGATGTGGGTCTTAGAGTAAAACTATGATAATTTGAATCTTGGCTAGATACGTTACTTAGCCTCTCAGTGCCTTGGTTATATAATTCCAAGGAATTATAATAGAATTATTTCATAGTTTAAAAAAATCAACTTCATTGAGTTTTGACACATGTATACACTCATGTAAACACAACCAGACCAGAATCAAAATATAGAACATTTCTATCCTAAAAAATACCTGTGTGCTGCTTCCAATGATTCTTCTTCGCATACCCACTCACAGCCAACCACTTGTCTGTTTTCTGTCACTGTATAGGTTTTCTAGACTTTTATATAAATGAAATCACACAGTATATGCTTTTTTATATCTGGCTTCTTTCACTCAGTGTTACGTCAGTGAGATTCATACATGTTCTATATAGAAGTAGTTTGTTCTTTTTTGTTGCTAAGTGCTGAAATGTGTTTATCCATTCACATATCAATGGCATGGGAGTAGTTTCCAGTTTGGGGCTGTTATTTTAAAGCAGGCTGCCATGAACATTTGTGTACATGTCTTTGTGTGGGCATGTTTCCATTTCTCTTGGGTAGATATTGATGAGTGGAATTTCTGAGTATATGGTACATACATGTTGAACCTTTTAAGAAACTGTCAAACTGTTTTCCAAAGTGGTTATACCATTTTACATTTCACCAGCAGCGTATGAGAATTCTCCTTCTCCCATTTCTTCAGCAACACTGGATATGATTAGTCTTTGACATTCTGGTGGCTGTGTAGTAGCATTTCATTGTAGTTTTAATTTGCATTTCCTTAATGACTAATAATGTTGAGCATCTTTCCACCATGCTTATTGTATATCTTCCTTTAGGAAGTGTTTGCTTAAATGAAAACACCCATTTTTAAGTTGGGTTGTTTATTATCTTATTAAGTTGTAAGAATTCTTCATATATGTATTTTTGGTATAAGCCCTTAGGCAGATGTATGCATTGAGAATATTTTCTCCCTGTTTATGGCTTGCCATTTCATTTTGCTTAGACAGGGTCCCACTCTTACCCAGGATGGAATACAGTGGCACAATAATTGCTTACTGCAGGTGGAACTCCTGGGCTCAAGTGATCCTCCTGCCTCAGCCTCCTCAGTAGCTGGGACAACAGGTGTATAGTATCATGCCCAGCTACATTTTTTACATTTTTAAAGATTAAAAACCAAAAGTGGGCCAGGTATGGTGGTGCACATCTGTAATCCCAGCACTTTGGGAGGTTGAGGTGGGTGGGTTCCTTGAGCCCAGGAGTATGAGACCAGCCTGGGTGACATGGTGAAACCCCATTTCTACAAAAAAAAAAAAAAATTAGCCAGACATGGTGACATGCAGTTGTAGTCTTAGCTACTTGGAAGGCTGAAGTGAGCAGATCGCTTGAGTCCAGGAGATTGAGGTTCCAGTGAGCCAAGACATGCCACTACACGACAGCTTGGGCAACAGAGTGAGACCCTTTCTTAAAAAAGAAAACCAAAGCAAAGAAAAATGCAACAGAGACTATATGTGGCTTGCAAAACCTAAATTATTTACTGTCAGGCTCTTTACAGAAAAAGTTTTCCAACTCCTGATCTATATGACCATCTTGATAACTATCTTGACCATCAGAAAGTATGAATCCACCAACTTTTTTTTTTTTTTTTTTCCCAAAAAATTGTTCTGGTTGTTTTAGATCTTTTGCATTTCCATATCAATTTTTAAATAAGGTTAATGATTGCTTCAAAAAAGCTTTATGAAATTTTGATTGAGATTCTTGAAACACTAGATCAATTTGGAGATAATTTATGTGTTAACATTAATTAATGAATGTTTTAATCCATGAATATGGCATCTTCATTTATTTAGATTTTTTTTTCAGCTTATTTTAACCATGTGTTAGGCTGGTGCAAAAGTAATTGCAGGTTTTTGCCATTAAAAGTAATTACTTGGCTGGGCACTGTGGCTCATGCCTGTAATCCCAGCAGTTTGGGAGGCTGAGGCGGGTGGATCACCTGAGGTCAGCAATTTGACATCAGCCTGGCCAACATGGTGAAACCCCATGTCTACTAAAAATACAAAAAATTAGCTGGGTGTGGTGGCAGGCGCCTGTAATCCCAGCTACTTGGAAGACTGGGACAGGAGAATCCCATGAACCCGGGAGGCCGAGGTGTCAGTGAGCCAGGATTGCGCCACTGCACTCCAACCTGGGCAACAGAGCGTGACTCTGTCTCAAAAAAAAAAAAAAACAAAAAAGGTAAGGGTATAGGTATTTCACCATGAAGTATATTTGTGTTAGGTTTTTTGTAGATAGCTTTTATCAGTTGAGGATGTTCTCTTAATTTCTAGTTTCCTGAGAGGTTTTTTTCATGATTAGGTATTAATTTTGTCAGATACTTTTTCTTCCGTTTTGAGAGGATCCTACAATTTTTATACTTTGTTCTGTTAATATGATGAAGTACACTGATGTTTCCAATAGTAAACCTACCCCTTGGTCATGCAGTATTATCTTCTTGAAATATGTCTGTATCTGTTTCGCTAATAACTTGCTAAGTATTTTTACTTGTACGTTCATGAAGGCTATTGGCCCATTAACTGTGTTGCGATGTCTTATTCTGGCTTCGCTGTCAATGGCATTGTTGGCCTTATAAAATAGGTTGGGAAATACATTCTTCTCTATTTTCTGCTTGTGTCGCATTGTTATTATTTCTTCCTTTAATATTTAATAGAATTTAACGATGACTATTTTGAAGCTTTGTTTTTGGGTGTGTATTCTACATTTAGGATTGTTCTTGATGTTCTTGATATGTTCCTTGATGAATTGGCCCTTTTATCTTTATATAATGTCTTTCTTTATGACTGACCATATTCCTTGTCCTGGAATCTCCTTATTCTAATATTAATATAGCCATCCCATATTTATTATTAATATTTGCATATCTTTTCTATCCTTTTACTTTAAACTTTCTGTCTTCAGTGTGTTTCCTGTAGATAGCGTATGATATCATATAGTTAAGGATGTCCTTTTTTTTCTTTCCAAATCCCAAGAGCCTGTGAAAGGAGTTGCTCTTTTGTCCATCTGTCAGTCTCTGCATTGTAATTGGAGTCATTAGACCATTTATTTTTCATGTAAATATTAATATAGTTGGTTTGGTTTAAATCTTATCTTGCTACTTTTTTTCTATTTGTTTTTCTATTTGTTCCATCTAGTATTTTCCTTTTTTTTTTTGGCCTTATTTTGGATGTATTGAGTATTTTTTAAGCATTCTATTTTATCTCAATTTTTGGCTTATTAGCTGTACTTCTCTCTGTTTTTAATTTGTTGCTTTAGGGTTTACAATGTGCAATTGTTGCCTATCACAGTCTACCTTCAAATAATTTTATTCTATGTCACAGATACTGTTCTATCAGAATGGTTTCATTTCCTTCTTTTCTCTATGCTATTGTAATTACATATTTTACTTAATTTTTCACTTGTGTTATGAACCCCACAATATATTGTTATTGGTTTTTCTTTAAGCAGTCACTTTTTACATTATTTATTTTAATTGTGATAAAATACCCATAACATAAAATTTACAATTTTAATTTTTTTTTTTTTTTTTTTTGAAGTCTCACTCTGTCGCCCAGGCTGGAATGTAGTGACTCCTTCTCAACTTACTGCAACCTCCACCTCCTGGGTTCAAGCAATTCTCCTCCCTCAGCCTCCTAAGTAGCTGGGATTATAAGCACGCACCACCACGCCGGGCTAATTTTTTGTGTTTTTAGCAGAGATGGGATTTCACCATGTTGGTCAGGCTGGTCTCAAACTCCTGACCTTGTGATCCACCCACCTCGGCCTCCCAAAGGTCTGAGATTACAGGCATGAGCCACTGCACCCGGCTAACTACAATTTTAACTATTTTTAAGTGCACAATTCAGTGGCATCAAGTACATTCACATTATTGTGCTACCATCACCACTATTCATTTACAGAACTCTTCATTTTGTGAAACTCTTTGCCTATTAACCAATAACTACTCATTCCCCCTTCTCCCAGCTCCTGGCAACCACCATTCTACTTTGTCTCTGTGAATTTGACTCCTCTAGGTACTGCATATAAATGGAATCATATAATATTTGTGACTAGCTTATTTCACTTAGCATAACATTCTCACAGTTCATACATGTTTTAGGGTATGTCAGAATTTCCCTTCTTTTTAAAGCTGAATAATATTCCGTTGTATGCTTATACCACATCTTGGTTATCCATTCATTGTTGATGGGCATTTTGGTTGCTCGTGCCTTTTGGCTGTTGCAAATAATGCTGCTGTGAACAGGATTTACAATTGTCTCTTAAATGCCTGCTTTCATTTCTTCTGGGGATATACCCAGAGGTGGAATTGCTGGATCATATGCTAATTCTATTTTAATTTTTTGAAAAATTGTCATACAGTTTTCCATAGTGGCCATATCATTTTACAGTACCACCAACAATGCACAAGGGTTCCAATTTGTCTATCAATCATATGTGAAAGCAATTAAAACATGAGAGAAAAGTATTTCATATTCTCCCACATATTTACCATTTCTGATCTCTTCTTTCTTACAGATTTACGTTTCTATCTAGTATCATTTACTTTCTGTCATTTCTTGCAGTGACAAATTCTCTTAGTTTGTATTTGTGTGAATTTTTATTTTGCCTTCATTTTTGAAGGGTTTTCCTCCTGTATATAAAATTCTAGATTGACAGCTTCTTTTCTTTTAGTACTTTAAATAGGTTGCACCATTATCTTCTAGCTTATTCTTATCTTTATTACTCTCTACATAATTTTTGATAGTTTTTAAGATTTTTTTTCCATTGACTGGATAATAATGTGCCTTGATGTGATTTTCTTTGTATTTATCATGCTTGGGGTTGGTTGAGCTGCTTGGATTTATAGATTTATAATTTTTATGAAATTCAGAAAGTGTTCAGCCATTATATCTTCTTTTTTTTTCTGTTACATTCGCTCTTCTTATTTAGGAACTCCAATTGTAGGTATACTAGACTACTTGATATTGTTTAAAAGCCATGACGGCTGTTCCTTTTTTCTGCCTGGTCTTTTTTCCTCTCTGTGCTTCAGTAGATAGTTTCTGTTCCTCTGTCCCCAAGTCACTAATCTTTTCTTCTTCAACATGTAATGACTTTTAATTACATTTGGGTATGCTTTTATTTCAGAAATTGTATTCTCTGTCTCTTAAAGTTGGATTAAGTTTTTAAAAAAAAATCTTCTCTCTCTCTTTTTTTTTTCTTGAGATAGGATCTTGCCTCTGCCTCCCAAGCTGGAATATAGTGGCGCTTTCAGAGCTCACTGCAGCCTCAACCTCCCAGGCTCAAAAGATTCTCCTACCACACCCTCCCTAGTAGTTGGGACTGTAGGCATACATCACCACACCTGACTCATTGTTTTATTTTTTATAGAGACAGGAGTCTCCATGTTGCTTAGGCTGGTCTCAGACTCCTGGCTTCAAATGATAATCTTGCATCGGACTCCCAAAGTGCTGGGATTACAGGCATGAGCCACCATTCCCGGCCTTTTTTTTTTTTTTTTTTTTTTAAGACGGGGTTTTGCTCTGTTACTCAGGCTGTAAGTACAAAGGCATGATCCTGGCTTACCGCAACCCCCGCCTCCTGACTCAAGCAGTTCTCCTGCCTAAGCCTCCTGAGTAGCTGGACCACAGGCATGTGCCACCATGCCCGGCTAATTTTTGTATTTTTGGTAGAGATGGCATATTGCCATGTTACCCAGGCTGGTCTCGAACTCCTGAGCTCAGGCAATCAGCCGCCTCGGCCTTCCAAAGTGCTAGGATTATAGACGTGAGCCACTGTGCCCACCCTCTGGCCTATTTTTTTCTAGGTAAATATCTAGTTGTTTCAGTACCATTTATTGAAAAGACTATCCTTTCCCCATTAAATAGCATTGGTACCTTTATTGAAAATTGTGTGAGTGTTATTGGATTCCATTCCTTTCCATTGGTCTTTGTCTATTTTTACAGTAATGCTATAGTGGCTTATGACATAAATTATGAAAGATCTAATGGATGATTCCGACATGTTATACATATTTCATTTGACCTTATAATCTACTTTTGGAAAATGAATTAGAAATACAGTGTTTTCACTAATAGGAACATAGTATTATGTTACCTCATTTAACAATTGAATGAAGAGATTTACTTTAAATGCACTTGTCTTACAGAGACCTTTTAATAAAAGTGAAGTTTGGAGAAGGCATTGAGGACTTACAGAGGTGCCGACTCTTAATTAAACAGTACATTCCTACAGGACTTTTTGTGGATCCATATGAGTTGGCTTCATTACGAGAGAGAAACATAACAGAGGTACAGTTATTAGGAGATTTTTTGTGGAGAGAAATTAATTTAGGCTGTATACCTGAAAAATGCCTTCACTGGGACAGTGGTTTAATTTGACTACTTCTAAGTTCTTGATTATATAATTCCTTGGCTTTTGCCAATGAGTTCTGTAACTGCTGTGATTAACTGAAAAGGAACAACATGTAATGAATAAGTAGCACTTGGTGTCACTGTCAAAGGAAAGTTAGGTTGCTTGATGTGATGGGAAGGAGTTAATGCTGTTTGTTTCTATGAGTTATACCAGGGTTTTGCATGGACAATCTGAAGAGAAGTTGTATGTGTGTACATCCATACATTTGCACATAGGTTATGTATGTAATGCCTATATGTGTGTGTGTGTATACACGTGTGTATACATGAATATGTATGTATATGTGGATATTTATGCATAATAAATACACACATTGTAACTCAGGTCTAATTTCTGTCACATGGACATTTTCACCGTTGATGTAGAATACTATACTTTTATATAAAATAGTTTTTACCATATTATTTTTAAAAATCATTTACTGTTTTTTCCATTGACTTTTTATACCCTCTCTAGAAAGAGTGCTGACCTTTGCTTTGACTTCCTGACTGCAGTGCTCTTACTCATTGCCATCTCGCTTGCTTCTCTGAAGAACAGGAAATTATCAGAATGATACCAATCATTTTAACTCAATACAGGTTTAACACTTTGTCATAGTTTTTGTAGTTACTGAATAACGCTATAGTAACAAAATTTCTCTGTTCTTAGGCACCTGTTTTGTCACCTAAACAAAGACTAATAAGAAAATATCACAGAAATAATGTTTTTAAATTTTTTTATATTTATTTTTTGAGATGGAGTCTTGCTCTGTCGCCCAGGCTGGAGTGCAGTGTCGTGATCTTGGCTCACTGCAACCTCCATTTCCCAGGTTCAAGTGATTCTCCTGCTTCAGCCTCCCAAGTAGCTGGGATTACAGGCATGTGCCACCATGCCCAGCTAATTTTTGTGTTTTTAGTAGAGACGGGGTTTCACCATGTTTGCCAGGCTGGTCTAGAACTCCTGATCTTGTGATCTGCCCACTTCAGCCTCCCAAAGTTCTGGGATTATAGGCATGAGCCACCGCAGCTAGCCAGAAATAATTTTTTGTTATGGGGAAATTTGGTACCCTAGAATATAATTTCCTCAGTTTACTTTTAGTAAGCAAACTTTTGTTAAACATAAACGATCTTGTGTTTTTCTCCTTAAAATTGAGGCTGGAAGGGGAATGAAATTGTTTATAAAGAAGGCAAATTTGACACGGCTGTTTATCTGTATAGCAGTCTTCTGGTTTTAACTTCTTAAAAAATCTTCCTCATTCATTTCTTCTTGATTAATATTTATTTTCTTTTTGAACAGGCAATGATGGTTTCGGAAAATTTTGATATAGAGGCCCCTAACTATTTGTCCAAGGAATCTGAAGTTCTCATTTATGCCAGACAAGATTCACAGTGCATTGATTGTTTTCAAGCCTTTTTGCCTGTGCACTACCGCTATCATCGGCCACATAGTAAAGATGGAGAAACCTTTACTGTGGTCAGTAACCCAGATTTGTTGATGTATTGTGACCAAGGTAAGGGTTGCAAGTGTTTTCTGAGGGTTGAAAAATAAGAATAAAGGCATGGTGGCAACTTGCAGTCAAGGACAGGGATGGCAAAAGCATGTTTCTTTTTCTTTTAACTTTTTGACTGTAAAATAAAGCACACATAAAAATCTCAAAAAGAAAAAAAAAGAGTCACGTTCAACTTCTGCAATACTTTTGTAATTTTCCAATTTCTTAGGCATTCACATAAAAAGGATGCTAAAATAACAGTATGTGATAGATGGGTCCAAATCATATAATGTGTTAAAATATTTGACTACTTCTATCTGTTGAAGTTTAATACAAGCCTAGCTTTGAATCCAAATACAGGTTTTCTGACATCATTTTTTTTTTTTTTGAGACTGAGTTTCGCCCTTGTTACCCAGGCTGAGTGCAATATCTCGGCTTACCACAACCTCCGCCTCCTGGGTTCAGGCAATTCTCCTGCCTCAGCCTCCTGTCTGACATCATTTTCTGCCACTTCCCTCAGAGTTCCCGATTTTGAAATGCTGGGCCCACTCAGAAGTGGCAGCTCCTTGTGCTTTGGAGAATGAGGATATCTGCCATTGGAACAAGATGAAGTATAAATCAGTAAGCTCATATTTTATCATCTTTCTATAATATTTCTGCCACATTTAAGGGATTAACATTTTCTTTTTTTTTTGAGCCTGTGTCTTGCTCTTGTTGCCCAAGCTGGAGTGCAATGGCATAATCTCGGCTCACTGCAACCTCCACCTACCAAGCTCAAGTGATTCTCCTGCCTCAGCCTCCCAAGTAGCTGGGATTACAGGCACCCACCACCACACCTGGCTAATTTTTGTATTTTTGGTAGAGAGAGCGTTTCACCCTGTTGGCCAGGCTGGTCTCGAACTCCTGACCTCAGGTGATCCACCCACCTCAGCCTCCCAAAGTGCTGGGATTACAGGAGTGAGCCACCACACCTGGCTGGCATTAGCATTTTCTAACATAAAAAGTTGTTTGTTCTTACAGCAAAGGGTTACTACAAAGCACTGCTATTTTTTTGTTAGGCAACTTTCTTTGAACAGATAGTTGGGAAGATGGTTGACCATGCAATCTTATGCAATGTAGAATTGTTTTTGAGTAGGTTACCATTTGCCATATGGTAACTGAAAATTTTTCTCAAACTCTAAAATACATCTGGAGACCTGCATGTGATTGTTTATGTCAATGAAGAGTATACTTAGTATTTATGATTTATTGATTTAGCAAATTCTTGGTGTGCATTGCTACAAGATAAGTAGAGACCATACTAAAACATTTTGAATTCTGTTGTTTGTTTGTTTATTTATTTATTTATTTATTTGAGACAGAGTCTTACTCTGTCTTCCAGGCTGGAATGCAGTAGCACGATCTCAGCTCACTGCAACCTCTGCCTCCTGGGTTCAAGCAATTCTCCTGTCTCAGCCTCCTGAGTAGCTGGGACTACAGGCACCTGCCACCACGCTCAGCTAAGTTTTGTATTTTTAGTAGAAACAGGATTTCACCTTGTTGGTTAGCCGGTCTCAAACTCTGGACCTCAGGTGGTCTACCTGCCTCAGCCTCCCACAGTGCTGGGATTACAGACATGAGCCACCATGCCTGGCCTCAGTTGTCTTTAAAACTCTGTAATTTGCCATAAAATATCATAGTTTAACACTTTAACTATAGTTTGTTTGTTTATTTATTTTGATACAGAGCCTTGCTCTGTTGTCCAGGCTGGAGTGCAGTGGTGCAGTCTTGGCTTACCACCACAACCTCTGCCTCCCGGGTTCAAGCCTCAGCCTCTCAAGTAGCTGGGACCTCAGGCATGGCTGATTTTTATATTTTTAATAGAGATGGGGTTTCACTATGTTGGCCAGGCTGGTCTCGAACTCCTGATCTCGTGATCCGCCCACCTCAGCCTCCCGAAGTGCTGGGATTACAGGCGTGTCCCTCCACACCTGGCCAACTTTACATATATTTCATGTTTATATATACCAGAAAAATAGATGACCATTACTAAGGTGATATTCCATCCCAAGGCTTGTTGAAGGTGGCATTTTTTGAATGATGGTTTTCAGATAGCACTTTGTTACTGATTGGGTTAACTTTTATTTTTTAGGTTGTGAAATCATAATTCAGGTATTTACAGAAAGAAAACAAAAAGTATTGCCAAGTTACCTACATTTTAATGTTTTTTAAAACTTATTTTTAAGCTATAAACTTTTCCAGTATTTTTAATTGAACCCCTTTATCTTTAAAACAAAATAGAAAATAGAAACTGAGTTGAATATAGGAGCTTTTGCATTGCTGGTCATGGGAAAGATCACATTCAGTTGTACAATATGTGAATAACAAGGTTTTAAAAGCTATCTGGGGAGGGATAGGCAAACAGGAATGAAAGGATTAATTTAGTTTTTTTTTTGTTTTAATGTTTTTCCTCTAAGTATTCAATTTAGAGAGAATTCTGTGTTCTAGTGTTCTAATTTGAAGCATGATAAGAGGAAGTAAATGTTTATATTGATTCCAGAGGTGACACTGGGATATAGCTTCTCTTTTTCTTTCTTTCTTTCTTTTTTTTTTTTTTTGAGACAGTGTCTCACTCTGTCACCCAGGCTGGTGCACAGTGGTACAATCTCAGTTCGCTGCAACCTCCACCTTCTGGGTTCAAGCAATTCTCCTGCCTCAACTTTCTGAGTAGCTGGGATTACAGGCTCACACTACCACATCCAGCTAATTTTTGTATTTTTAATAGAGATGGGGTTTCACTATGTTGACCAGGCTGGTCTCGAACTCCTGATCTCGTAATCCACCTGCCTCAGTCTCCCAAAGTGCTGGAATTACAGGCATCAGCCACCATGCGTGGCAAATATAGCTTTTCTTAAAAGAATATACTTAACTCTATGTAAAAAGCAGAAAAATCAGAACTAATGAGATTTAACAAATTATTGTGGGAATTGAGTCTGATTCTGTAACATTAAATGAAATGTTAGATTCCAAAGTCGTCAAACCAATAATATTACATGTAGTGTAGCACTGGCTGAAAGATATTTAAAAGAAAAAAGAAAGAAAAAGATCCAATTAAAAATCAAAGAAGCCGGGCGCGGTGGCTCACGCCTGTAATCCCAGCACTTCGGGAGGCCGAGGCGGGTGGATCACGAGGTCAAGAGATCGAGACCATCCTGGTCAACATGGTGAAACCCCGTCTCTACTAAAAACACAAAAAATTAGCTGGGCATGGTGGT